ACAAAAGTTCATCCAAGTATGAATTGTTAAGCTTTACACAATTCACAATGATGAACAACAGTGTGTGAAGAAACATAAAGCTTATTCAGCTTCTGAACTACTAAGCAAACACACACTGCAGAATGAGATTAATTTTGAGCTACTGCATTTGCTGACAAAAGTTTAGTAAAATCTTCTCCTCCCACTGGTGAAATGCCATCTCTTTAAAGAACATCACTTTTTAAAATCCTGTTAAAAATAGCCATGCTATTGGCTTGTTTTTAAAAAAATAAGTACAATCATTATAATTGGCATTTTCATAGGTAAAGTACTGATCCTTTTTCATTCTGCTCTGCAATAATTGTTGACTTTTCTTTTTCTTTTTAAAAGTTAGCTTTCTAATTTACATTTAATTAAAAGGATTTTTAAATTTTTGTTTTCAAGTTAGAAGCTTCCCAGTAGCATTTGGAGATATTACCATAAGCAAACCAATGTGAGAAAACTTAACACACTTAACTGATAAATCCTGAGTTGAAAAAGAACCACAATGCAGGCTGATCTATTTTCTAATATGTATTGAAATGTATATTCAATGTATATGACGGTGTATAAATTTTACTTGAAAGTTTCAGTGTTTTTTTTACACAGGACTGTTGGTCAAATTCTTTGCATTAAAAAAACCCTGTTCTGTTCTCACAATTTGACAATCATATCTTTGTCTTTTGGCTCATATTTTGCTCCAGAATCCATATTAACCATGTATTTTTCAACTTTGTTTTAGTACCTATATTCTTATTTTAACACCTACATTCACAAGCAAAAGCAAACACATTCACCAGTTCAGGTAAGAGAGGGATTTTTTCTGAAATACTTGAATAGAAACATAGAATATCCTGAGTCAAAAGGGACCCACAAAGAGCATCAACTCTTGGCACTGCACAGGACAGCCCCAAGAATCCAACCATGTGCTTGACTTATCTAAATCCTTCTTTCATTCTGGCAGCCTTGATGCTATGACCACTTCCCCGGGGAGCCTTTAACTTTATGCGAAAAAAAAAAAAAAGAATACTAATACAATTCTATTCCCAGGATTTATGAAGAAATAGTAATAAAAAACACAGAAAAAATTATGTGGGAACATAATGTCCTTATTATTTCTACAGATGGAAACTCTAGAATCTATCAATGCAACCTGTGACAATGTTTAACCAAATTCATTCTGAAAAACACTTAAAACACCTTAACCTAATTAAAACGCTCTGTGTTACAATTTCCATCTGTCACCTATCATCCTACCCCAATGCATGTTTGAGAACACTCTTGCCCTGTCTTCTATATGTCCTTCCTTTACCTAGTTGCAATCAGAAGCTGGCCCCTCCTGACCCTTCTCTTGTTGTAGTTAAAACCCCTTGTTTCCTCAGCCTCTTTTCACACCCCAGGTGCTCTCTAGCCACCTGCCTTCCTGGCAGCCCTGCACAGAACCCGTTCCAGCATGCTGATGTCTTTCCTATAGTGGGATGCCCAAAACTGGATAGGGCACTCAAGGTGTATCCCCAACAGCTTCAAACAGAAGGGATGAATCACTTGTCCTGATCTGCTGGCTGCACCTTCGCTGTTGCAGCCCAAGGTGCAGCTGGCCTTTGCTGCAAGGACACACGGCTGACTCAGAGAATCACTAAGTACCACAGTAATTCAGAGAATCACTTAGGTTGGAAAAGACCTCCAAGGTCCTGAAGGTCTTTTCCTGCAAGGCTGTTTTCTACCTCTGCCTGTGTTGTAACAAGGGGATATTCCATCCCAGATGCATTTGCAAATCATTTATGAATTTCAACTTGATAAAGCTCCATTCAGCCCATTTTTCCAGTCTGTGCAGGTCTAGGTTCCAGCAGCCTCACCTCTTATGAGGTTACTGGATTTGACAATCCTTAAAATTAAATATCTACAAAGACTACTATATATTCTTTCATGATAAGTAGCCTAAATTAGATCAAACAATAACATCTGTCCAGGAAAACTGTAATTGAAGTTTTATTTACTTGACCAACACAGCAGCAGTTGTCTACCTATGTCACAATGCATCCCAGCTATTTCTTCAATGTTCTTGAAATGAAGGATCTGATAGGTTTATCAATTAGACTTGCTGTACTTTTATTTTCAGTGAATTTTCAAAGATTGCATCTACCTAAGGAAAACAATTTTCCTGGTAATTAAGTGTGAATAACATATAAATTTCTGAGACCGAGAACTTGACTGGAAAAAAACATTTACAAAGCAGGTATGTTTTACACGTTATTCAGTTTATTAGACCGTTTTTTTGCCACTTGTAAGATACAGAAACTTCAGCATATTGCTTCAGGCACTCAGGCACAAATGCCAGTCCATTCAAGAGACTTTCAAAAACAAATAGCATATCACTTTTACCAATTTCAATAGCAGGTAGACATTCGGTTGAGAAAAAGTCTATTGCCTGACCGATTTGCAAATGCTGTGTTCAAAGAAGAAAAGTAGGCTAGGCTTGAGCTACGCTCCTCATTTTGAACACTAAGGCTTTTTCAAAAAAACCCCAAAACAACAAAAACCCAAAGAAACTGCTCAAAACAGTGCCAAAGACTATGAAACAGGAACTTAAAATTTTAAGGATTTGCTAACAGTACATTTCTTTAATATGTACTTAAAATTATCAGAGACACGAACTCTGGCACCTAATTGCGCCCCCCCCATACCAAAGGGAGTGACAGACTGATAGATCTGGCCCAGAAGGAATAAGCACTTCAGCCAGAGGAAAGGAGCAGCATAGAACATGACTTGTCTCCTTATGGAATGTATAACGAAATTTTAATACTCAGCAGGCTGAGTAACAAACAGTTCAAAGTTTGCCAACAGGGAAACTGGGGAAGGGAAGAGTTCACGAGTTTTGTCCTAACTCATGGTCTAAGCATTTTTTTCAGTTTTATCAGAAGCGACTTATTCTGCCTTTGGTTCACATCCAAGTACCTGTTCCTGAAAATAATACACTCAAGTCCTTTTTAGCAAAATTCGTATTGAATACAGTCCCCAATCCCCTTAAAAAATAACTACAGTTCAAGTATATGTCAAAGAATACAATGCTAAAGAAACTTTCTCAAATCTGGATGACCGCTGGAAAGTCAGCAGAGCAGTCAGAAAGATACTTGACTTCATTTTGCATTTGCGTTAGTTCTAAGCCCCTCTAATGAGGATTTAGAATTTTTTGGACAGAAGATTACTCATTTAATATATATGGGATAAGCAACAACCCAATAAGAACAGTATTAGATTATTATTTATTTTCACCTTTACATCACTTGCCAAGTCTAAGGACAGTCATCTAATAGTAAGCTTTCAATGTTATCTTCTGCAAAACAGTATTTCAGGTATTTCTTAAAATGTTTTTCGTTTAAATGCTAGAAATTGCATATGTAAAATATTACAAGGGCAAACTACAGAAAATTTGTATAAAATTGCAAACTGTAATGCAATTGCAAAAATTTGTATAAAATCTCTTCTGTTATTCGATTCCGTTATTCTTCTGTTATTCACAGACAGATTAGCAGTCCAATTATTAAACTTCTTGAATAACTGGAGTCTCAGAACTCATTCCAAGTCATCTGACCTGGATATCATTGATAACTCAATAGTATAAATTTATCAATGAAAAAAAAGTTCACCAAGGAAACATCTCCTGCACAACAAGAAATTTCCCAACCTTCATACCACTGACTGGAATAATCCTAAAATAGCAGCAATATTTAAAAATACCTCAGTATTACTCAAATATATTTCAGATAAAGTTCTTGAAATGCAGTCAAACTATATGTAAAATTTGAAGTGCTAGAGAAGTACACTTGACATGCCAATACAGGCTGTGCTTCAATAATTTTAAGTAACTTTCTCTAATGTTAACAAGTCTAGATGGTGACATTGTATAAAATAAGAGTTTATCTTAAGGAGTTAATTCTCACTTGATTTATTAAGAATGCTTACATTTAAGTCAACTTCATGTACAGCTTCTGCTGAATTAGTGAAAGATTTTTCTGACTACTGCCATTTTTAACTGAACTTGAATTCCATATTTTTGTTACATCTTTGGCATTCTACTGAATAATTATTTCTTACTTATGGAAAAATCAGTCACTTGACTGAAGGGTAGTTTGAATTGCATAAACTGAAAAAGTGATCAATGCTCTTTGTATTTTTGCTACAACTATCACATAAAACTTTGCACTAAGCTTGGCATGTTATACTTAATATTATCTATTCATATTTCCACTGATAAAAAAAGAACACATGCCTATACAACTTATTTTTTTCTCAGTTCTTGAAACTCAAGTACCATCATCTTCCATCTATTAGGTTCACTGAGAAAACAAAGAAACACACTTATCAAGCAGCTAAAAAAATGCAAAGCCTTCACTTCCACTAAATTCACCAAGAGATCAGTTTTCTTTTGTTACAATTTCTTAAATGCACTTGTTATCCTCCAAACAATGTACCAGAAAAATTTATTAAAGTAAACCAATGTTTACACAAAGAAAGGGACTTATATCTCCTCATGAAGATATACCTGACATTTTGAAGGCAGGTCAGCAGCTTTACATAATTCATTCTAAACCTTTTAATACCTTGAATGATAAAAGTATGGTTAAACAGGGTCACAAAACTTATCAACACATCTCTGCAATTAGGAAGCTAAAAATCTTCAGCTAGAAATTACAGCTGTATTGGTGGTGGAAACAAGTTGCTGATAATCCATTCAAGCTCCAGCAAATCAAGGAATTCCAAATGTGACTACTATTTCGCTACTGAACAAAGAAGATACAAAATTACAATAAATTTTCTTTTTAAAAAGCAGGTCATAATGTAAATTTTCAAACTCTACTTAAATCTCACGCTCCCTAATGTATATTATTTTTACAAAAAAAAAATCAAACTTGTTCTTGGTGATAATTCAGAACAGCAACAAAATTTAGTAATTATAAAGATCTCAACAATTTGTACATTACCTAATGCTGCTCATGCTTCCAGTTTCTGATCCAAGCTTACATCTCTCCAGCTGGCTCGCCACAATCTGACGTTCAGCCTCAAGTTCTCGAGTCAGTCTCTCAAACTGCAGCTCCTGAAAAAAGTAAGTTAAACATTTTGCTTTGACTTCTCTTGAGATTAAGAAGGAATTTCAGCACATAAAAATGAAATTTGTGCAAGAATTATTAGCTTAATATCTTATAACAAGGTTTTGTTTTTTTCCTTTTTTAACATATTCAAAGTTCACACCTACTTATTCCTTCCTTTATTCTAACGATGTATGCCATAGAATAAGACTGTATCAGGAAAGGAAATTCTAAATATATTAAATAATTTAGCCTAGAGAGTTCATGCAGCTCTCTCAGTAACATAGAGATCTTAGCAAACTGACCTGTGATCACAAATAAGTACAATTTGTGTTACTGAAAAAAAGATACTAAATTCTGTGGATAAACTAATTTAAGTTTCTGTGCTTAAAAGGATAACCATCACAGTATACACCAGTGAAATAAATTGGAAGGTGTGTTGATACGGCCTGGGTACAGCTTAATTTCTGCAGCTAATGATGTGCAGAAGGGAAACTCAAGTAGTTTTGGACAAAAGCTGTGCTTAAATTCCTACCACTAATTTAATTTATTTTCTTTTATTCTATCAAGGAAACCAAACCAGTCCTACCAGATGAGATTTATCCACAGAGCTTATAAAGTGGTATTTTTCATACACAAAAGATTATTTTTTTATTAAACAGAAAAAGGAAAACCAATATAATTAAAATCCCCACCATTTCTCAAAGGGTTACAATCCTCACATATTGGAGCACTAGTTTTATGAAATAAAAAAATTAAATACCTGTAGGGAGTTATGGTTATTATAAATTCGTTGAGTGTTGCTGCCCTTTCATTTTGATCAGTAACATTGCATCATTTTCATAGGTAAACAAAAACATCTCTCCTGCCCCCTTTATTTAGGTTTGTTGAAGGCTCAAGGAGAAATATCTTGAAACCATTTATTAAATAATTCCCTTATCCACAAAAATGAACCCAATATCTACTTCTCCCTCTTTTTTTTTTTTTTTTTTTTTTTTCCAAAACAACCTCCCTGTAATGCAGAGGTATGGGAGGGAGTCCCTTGAATAACTCCCCAGCAAGGTCCTGCTGGGCAGAACAGCACTGGAACTTACTGCAGTAATGACTTATGCCCACCAACTGACATTGAAGGACTTAGTTTTTGAGAGAAAGGAAGAAATGGTGGAAGTAGAGTAGGATTTGTAAGTGTTCATTCTAAGTCCTACCTAAAACCTCTCACCAAGTAATCAGGGGTAAATAAAGGCATTAAATTTTTCAAATCTCTGAAATGAGGCAAATGATAACTGAAATGTAAGAAGGAACTGGCTGGTCATCATTCTGCTTAATCCAGCTGGATCATTCCCCTTTGTTTCTCTTGCTATTGTCATGGAATAATTTCTGAGGGGAGACATCTACATAGGTTACATTCAGCATGAAATAGCCAATGAATACTTAAATGGCCACTGACTATGTGACAAAGCCTGCTTAACTGTGAATTTATTATTCCAAACAAATCTATACAGAGTACAAGAATACCACTGAAAGTCAGATTGGTGTAAAGACCAAAACATCACTGTTCATTAAATCAATAGTTAATAATATTCTCTGCACATTTTTGTAGAGTGCAGAAACAACTTTTTCACTGTTGTCTGAAAATACGATTAACAAAAATCGCCTGACAATAGTCATCTATTTCATACATGCCTTCTTCACAGACAGCATTTCTCTCACCTAGAAGAATCAATTGCCTGAAAAGCTGAAGAGACAGTTTATCGGCTTTCCAATAGTTATTATTCAAATCTGGGTCTTGTTTGCATAAAATAAAACCCTTAATGCAGAAAGGATTGTAATAGAAATATTACTAAATTGTTGAAGAATGAAAAATCAAAGTAGTACAGTATTTGCCATGCCAGCATGCTTAAATCAAAGTGTGTAAGCCTGGAGAAATTTTGAAAGTATAAAATACCCAAGAAAATCTAACCGAGCATTATGTTTACTTTCAAAATACAAGCAGAACTTTAACACCTATTCTGTGCCACTGCATTTTTTAAGACACTTGATTCTATCACAACGGTGCAAATTTATGTGTTTAGGATAGATTTTCACCCAGTCAGTTCAGCTCTCACCATCCCAGGTGAGGCAGGTCAGAAGTGCTCTTTGCCATGGCTCAGCACGGGCACTTGCCTAACTCGCCCCATGAGAAGGTGCAGCTGTCCCCTCAATGCTGCTAAGAGAATGTTAAGTACCAAGAACTTGGGAACAAATGCTCCTCACTCTCTATGTTGTCCACTAGCCTTTTTCTAGACAAAAAAGTGCAGCTCCTTAAGTTCTTCACGTCTAGTAGGAGTGCAAACAATGGCTCTCTAGTTTCTCCTTTTGTCCATGCTATCCCAAGCCAAATAAATACAGAAATGCCCCAATCCTATTTTACTGAAATACTTAAAAAGTAAATATTATTTTGCTTTTCTTTTTTCCTTAATTCAGCTGTCTGGATTGTATGTCTTCTCATATCTTTTCTATGCTTTCTATTCCTTCAGTTAATCACACTGGTTGACAACTTTTCCAGAAACTTCTGCATTGCCTCAACAAATACCCTTTTGCTATGATTATTTTGTCCCCAGAACGTTTTCTTTTGCTCATTATTCTAGTCTCCAAAATATACTTTTCTACTCTTCACTCTGTCATTTATTTTTCTTTCCTACTTACTGCTTTGTGCTCTCTTCTGCCTTCCATCTTTCATTTCCTAGTGCATTTCATGACTCATCCTCCACTAAATCTCTTTCAGTCCTATTACACAAAGTGCTACTCCAACAAATGCCCTAAACTGATTGGTTTAAGGAGTTTCTGTCATTCTCTCTCTCCCTGGTTCCTTGAGGAAACTCTTCTGTTCTTAAGATGTTCAAATTGATGTTTTCTGGTTTCACTGCCCACATTATTTAAGCTCTGCCCTGCAGAGATGACTAGAAAAGGGCAGTTGTATCTATATTACTCCTAAAGCAGGAAGCAGAGATCTACCTGATCACTTAAGCAAGGAATAACCTTGGGTTTCTAATACATGAAAATGGCTAGAAAACATGAACAGGAACTTCTTCTTCACTACTAGCTTTTTAATTGCTACTATTTCTTACTTAATTATCTTCTGTCCAGTGCCACCAGAAGTCAGAAATGAAAGGAAACAGAAGGTGGGGAGGTGGGATATGTGCAGAGCCAAACAATTATAACTTCAAGAATTATCCTCTACATTAAATTTAATAAGCAGTTTCCTTTGGTATTTCCTCATGCCCATGAAAAAGATGCAGGTCCACAGGGCTGCCTTTGGACTGAAAAAAGGAAAGAAGAATTCAAGTAAGATTTGTGAATCTGTTTTCCCTACATACCAAGAAAACCTGGCAGAAAACAAATTAATAAGCTTCTTTCTCTTTGGGAAGCAGTGAGAGTGACTAATATTTGAATAAATCCATATGTTTCGATTTCAAGCAGCTGTCATAGCGCAAGAAGACAGAAACCAGAAATAGTTTCTGGTTTGCTGACATTTTACAAAAATAATCACTGAACCTGACTCCATAATTTGTATTATTTGTTGTGTTTACAATCATTCTCACCAGTTCATGCCACGTTGTGTTATCTTCACAACTTTCTATTATTTATCTGAATCAAGCTAATCGGAACATCAAAATTAAAAAAAAATTCCTACTCACTGATTATGCAAATGTGTTGTCAAGACAATTGCAGAATGAAGAACAGCAGAAACTACAATGCAACATCAAAATTAATTTACATAATAACATGTCAAGAGCAGCCTCAAGGATTGTGCTGCAAAGGGCAATAATGCCAAAGCAAGTGCCCACGCAAAAGCACTACAAAGTGCAGTGACCAGCATGGCAGTCCTTAGCACTTGGCACCAGGAGGGGATGTGGCAGTGGGAAGCCACCAGAGATCAGAGATAATGATGACAGTAATCCAGAGTAATCACGCAAGAGTGCAACTTGGAAAGGGAGGAACTTCATGATACCCTTATCAAATAGTTTTGAAGTGATACAAAGTATTTATCTGCTAGGGCCTGAAGTAATTTATGTTAAAAAAAAAAAAAGGTATTTGTCTACAACCATGGTGGGGTTCATTTTGTAAAAATATTTCATTATTCCAGAGATGGCAATTCAATGTATATTCATTATCAGCATGAGTTTTGTATTTTATCTATCCTCTGCAGCCAGCAAAGTTTCAAGAACAATATAAGACTTGAGGGACGTCACAACATTTCACAGTGGTCCAGACACTGAATAAGCAAGATGGAAATCTTCACAGCCTTTGGACAAGTTAGGAACTCCTGAGCTCAGGGCACATCTGATGGGCCATCTACTGTATTGACCCATTTGAATGTTGGGAAAGGTAAAATAGGGCAAAAGAAATTTGGCTGATATTTGGAGTTGATCTCATTTTACTTCGTCCTTTACAATCTTAAAGTAATCCTTCAATCCTTTTGCAAAGAGATGTGTATCAATGCTAAGCAAAAGACATAGCAAAATCAGTAGTGACAGTAAAAATCAACTAAAAAAAAAAAACCTTGAAAAAAAAATCTAAATTTAGGCACAAGAGCCTTGCAAAATTATTGGGTTCCTAAGAATCTTTAGGTTGTGACATTAAAAAAGGAGAAGTGCCTAGCTTTTGATTGCAAATACACTATACAAAACCTAATTGGGGCACTGGTGATCATTTGAATCTTCAAATACAAACAAATAACAGCACTGATAATCCAGGTTGGGAATCCCTGGTGAGATGAATACAGTAAACCTGATTACAGCTACACAAATAAATAAATAGTCTCTGAGATTGAAGTCTTTCAGAGGAATATGTTAGAAATCACAAAACTTCAAAAAGTACACAGGTTGTAGAAGTGTACAGCATTGGCTCTACCTTTTTGTAGCCTATTAAACAAGAAAAAAGTTACCTCAATCAACATCACAAGTATGTGTATATTCCTAAGCACATCCTATAGCATCATGCACAATTCCATATACTCCACATCTGT